GGCCCGGATCCCCCTGCACGGCGGGGGTGCAGGTGGGAAGAATCCCCACATGGACTGGGAGGGCTGGGATGGTGAGTGAGGTGATTTGGTCCAGATTTGGTGCTCCGGCACCTCTGTTTGGAGGCAGAAATGATCCCGAGGGCTGGAAGCTTCTGCCCAGCTGGCGGTGGGGAAGGGCTGTGTGCTTACTGGTGGCTCTAAAGCTGTAAATATCGTGGTTGTCCTGCATTTCGTGTGCTGTATCCCAAACAGCCTGGGAGGAGGAGGAGGAGGAGGAGGAGGGCTTCTGCTGGTGCTTGTGGGATGCTCGGGAGAAACCCAATGTCAGACCTGCTTCGTTTTCTAATGAGGGAATTTGTCTTTCTTCATAGGCTACCAAACTAAAGAAAAGAGGTAGGTACACTCATGCTTTCCCTTCACTGTCTGTGGGTGTTTTGAACTGGCAAAAAGGGGGATACTGAAGTCAGGGGGTGGTCCTGAAATGGAAATGTCTCATGATCTGACTAGAAAGCACCTTGATAAAGATAATTCTGAGTGAAGCTGGATTCTTTATCCACAAAATACTTGATCAAGTCCTGGCAGTTCTCTCTAGACCAACAAGAAAGATCTTACGCTGCTGGTGCTTGAGACCAAACTTTTATTCTTGGGGGGGGATTTCAAAAGAACAAACCACATGGAAATTGGGAGCTTCTCTACATGGGCTTGGTGAACCTGCCTGCTTCAGCACCTTCAATCTGTCTCCTTTCAGGCTCTTTTGATGATGAGTTTGAAGACCTCCTGGGATCCAGTGGTAAAAAGCACCTTCTTTCTAGCTGAAAGGGCAACATCTTCCTACTCTAACCCCCTCCTGGGAGCAAGAGGTGCTGGTGCAACAACCACGGATGTCTGAGGGGCTCCAGTTGTGGAGGGAGGAGGTTTAAACAGGGAGCAGAGCAAAGAGCAGTGTTTCCTAGACCCAAAATCCATTGAATAGGTGGGACAGCTGCTTGGGGAGGTGAAATGAAGGGATTAAAAGCCTCTGTGGATCACAGGGAGACAGCAGATCCCCCCCTTGGAGTGCCTAGGGCAGGAATATGCCCGTGTCCATCGTCCCAGTCTCTCCCTGTCTTGTTTCTAGACAAAGTCTCTGTTCAATCTGCCAGAGCTTCCCAGCTGGCTGGGGACAGCAGTGGGAGAGCCCGGGGCAGCAGCTCAAGAAGTGAATGCCTTTCAGCCACAGCCTCTCCCACTCGGGGCTCTCTCTGGGCTCCCCAAATCCTTCTGACCTGCCCCATCCTCGGCTCCCCGTCAGCGATGGTTGAGTTACCTGCAATTCCTTTGGGAACTGGGAGCCCAGAGCCTGAAGCTTTCCAAGAAGAGTCCTGTACATCTCCCTGATATTTATATGCTTAAATATAGCAGCCCCAACACTAGGATCTTTTCTCCCAGTGCTGTCTGAGGCTCCTTTGCTGGTGTGCCAAGGTGTGCCAGCGTGGCCCCTGCCACCTCCCAGCTCCTGGCTGGGCTGTCCCCAGGGCACCCTTGCCCAGCTGACCTGTGGTGAGCTGCTGACCCACAGCTTTCTCTCCCAGGTCCTTTCTAGAGGATGATTTCTTCAGCAAACTCCCTGCAGAGGACGTTGCAGCTGCAGGGGTGAGCCCAAATTTGGGGAGAGAGGCCGGGTGTCCCGAGGGGTGGAACTGAGCTGTGCCAAGCACCCCCCTGGTGTCACCCTGTCCAAGTCAGCGGTGGGATGTTGGGGATGAAGCGTGGAGTTTGGGTGAAGAGGTCTCTGCCATGGGGAAGACAGGGCAGGGGAGTGGGTGTTGGGTGGGAGAAGGGCTTCCAGGTACCTCGAATGAGGTGGAGCAAAGCCAGGAGGGCTTGTGCTGCTCCAGCCCAGACTTCCTGGGTGTGCTTCTGCTGAAGTGGCAGAGAAAGGACCCTCACCCAGATCAATGGACTTGGGTGTTGCTGACACTTCTCCCAGAGGCAGCAGGATCTCAGTGTAGGAATTGTGGCACGGGTGGAGGGGACACCAGGAAGAGTTGGGTGTGTTCCCATCCAATAAAACAAGGGAAACCAGGGGCTGGGGCAAGGGGTGAGGAGTTTCCAAAGTCTGCTCCTCCATCTGATCTCTCCCCTCCCTGGCATGCAGGGATCCAGTGCCCCTGGTGCAGACCCACCAGTTCTGCTGCAGAGCCTGAAGGTGGGAGCAGAAACACCCTCTCATCCCAGCCCCACGCTGGCAGCACTCACCCTGCACCCATCCTCATCCTCTTGCCTTGCAGGACATGGATGAGATGGATGCTGAGCTCCTGGGATTATCAAAACCCAGCTCTGGGCCAGGGATGATGACTGTGAAAGGTCCTGGGAAATGTGACTCCTTGGGAGGAGGAGTGAGAACTGCTCCTGAGAAAGGTGAAAAGGAGATTCTGCTTTTCTTTTCACAGCCTCACAGTGAACCAGCAGGGGATATTTTCATCTGGATAAGGAACAGAAAGTGGGTTGGTTCCCTAAAACTATTTTTCTGGTCCCATTTTTGGGGGGGGAATGTTCTTTTGGCCATGTGTTATCCCTTAGGAGATCCCTGGCCTGGATCATGCTGTGATAACACAGCTAGCAGCAGGTTATCTGCACCAGGGCAGAGTGTTTCTAGTGAGATCTGCATGGAAGGAGAGCCAGAGGGGTTGCAGTTGAGATATAATAGTCCCCAAACTGCCCTGATCTGGCCCAGGCCCTTTTCTCCATCTCTGCTTGGCAAGGAGACCCCTCCAGAGAGATTCCCACCCCTCAGGGCTGTGACTGTGTCACAATATTTGCTTTTAGGGGGCTGTCACCAGAACAGTGACCTTCAGCCAGGGTGGGACAGGGACATCTCTGCAGCAGCTTGTCTCTGATGCCTGTGGCCTCTCTTTCTAGGAGAGCCAGTGCCTGTGATGAAGAAGAAGCCACTCTCATCCCCTGCTGCTTCCCAAAAGCACAAGAAATTGAGCTTTGCAGGTAGGATCTCACTTCACTTCAGCATGTGGGAGCAGCTGGGGACTCTGCCCTGGCTCTTTGCATAGCTTGGGTCCTTCACCCCCATGGTGCTGGTGCAGGTCTGATCCCTTAGAGCTCACCAAAGGCAAGACAAAAAAAGACTTCTTGGTGTTGGAGGCCCTCCCCACAGTGGGGCTGGGAGAGGGTTCCTGTGGGCATTTGCTTTTTCACTTGTGCTTTGGTTTTTCAAGACTGTCTTGAGCACTTGGAGACCTTTGTGTGAGGGAAGAGGGGATTCTGTCCAACTTCCAAACTGGGAGGCTGGTTTCCTGGCCCATCTGAGATCTGTTTGTGCTTTAACCAACATCAGCATCTGGTAAAATCACTAATTGGCTTTAAGGGATTGAAGTGGGCTTTAGGTCTTTGAGGTGGGCTTTCTTCTCCCCTTTTTCATGGCCTCAGCAGTGGTCAAGCATTACAGCACCCAAATTTTGAGTTATTTTCTTCTAGGAGAAAGCAAATCTGGGAAAAAAAAAAAAAGATCAGAAATGTAACTGTTGAGTGTTTGAAGTTCAGGGAGACTCAAGGGTACCTGAGGTCCCTGCAGGGTCTGTGTTCAAGGCTTTGGGCAGATCTGATCTGTCCCCGTGGGCACGTGGTGGGGAGGAATGTTTGGCTGAGCACAGAACTGTTCTTCCAAATAACATTGGTTGTGTTGTTTTCTTTGTTTTTATTCTTCTTCTCCTTTCCTGCTCCTAAATCCCCAGATTTAGATGATCCTTTGGCAGGGCTTTTATCTGATGAGGAGCAGGATGCTCCCAAGAAGCCACCTCCAGCAGGCACTAGGAGCAGCCCTGAGGAAAAACCAAAATGGAGCAAAGAGAAAGGTATATTAAATATATTTTATAATATATTAATATTTATATTCAATGAATCAGCAGTCTGGATGAGTTGGTGTGATGTCCAAATTGACCTGGAAGCCACTTAGTCCCATCTCTTATTAACCCATCTGGTCATTTGTAGAGCAACTTGGTGCCATGGTTAATTGTGACACAGCTCATGGAGGTCTCAATGTTTCAGGTGTGCCACGGGTTAGAGAACTGACCTTTCCTGCCTGGAAAGGGAGGCTCAGACCTTCCTTTTGAACTCCTCCAGCCTGCTTGGCCTGTTAACAGATGAGAACAAGCATTCTGGGTTGGGATTTGGGTGCCTGAGGGCACGGCTGGGGCACAGCAGATACCAGCATCTCCGAGTGGGCTCCAGCTGGGCTGGTCCACAGCAGATCCCAGCATCTCCGAGTGGGATCCAGCTGCACTGTGGCTGTGTTACTGGGATGGCTGCAAGGCCCCTGCAGGTGGGACCTCTGACCCTCTGTCGTGGGCATGACATCAGTGTGGTGTCCAGCAACCTCTGGCTGGTTCAGGCTGCTTGGCTGTCAGGATAGTCCCCTAAAACTGCCTTTCACCCCAATCAATCTACTCTGGGCACAAGCAGCAGCTGGTGGGTTGAGACAAGGACCTACATGCATTGGTGCAAATGGGAATTATCTGTTTGGAAACTCTCTAAGCTAAAAAAGGAAGCTGGTGGTGTTGGGCAGAGCTGGGACCCCCAGTGGGGTTGGCCACAGACCAGGCAGCAGCACGTTGCCACTTTGTCACTTGCTCTGAGATTTGGTCATGGAGAAGAGTGATTTAAAAATGACTTTTTAAATGGCCTTGAGAGATGGGAGCAGGGAGAGCTGCTCTGATCTCTTGTTGATGAGAAGAGCCCTGATCCAACCTCCTGCCACGTGTGATTCCACCCCCAGAGCCACCCCAGACCCCCCTGCACGTGGCGGCCTCAGCCCGGAGGAGGCCCGAGCTCACCTTTGAAGATGATGGGGAGGACTTGCTGGATGCACTGGGATTGGGCAGGTGCCCAGAAGGAAATGAGAAGCAGGAACAGAAGGCAGAAGAGTAAGGGCAGTGAGGAGGCAGTGGGAGTAAAGCAGGGAGTGCCTCGTGTGTTGAGGTGATGCCGTCGTGCTGGGTGGGGGATGCTGGAGCTTCTGCCCGTGGGTCTGAGGAAGGGGCAGGAGTTTGCTTGGCAGAGGAGAGGCAGAGCAGCCTGGCAAGGCTGTGTGATGAGGAGCAGCCCTGCCTCTGGGAGAAATCCATCTGCTGCTCTCTCCCCAACAGAGAGAAGCTCCGGCCAGACCACTCCAAGCTGGATGAGTTGCTGGGACGAGGCTCCGTGGCCAAAGTCCTGGAAGAGCCAGGCACAGGAGAGCACGAGGAGTTCCAGCTGGATAAGAAGGACCCAAAGCAGCCTGGTGAGCGTGGCCAGGGACACAGGGAAGGTCTGACAGCATGGGCTGGGGAGAGCAAGATTGATTTCTAACGGCCTCACAGGGGAAATTCCCTCTCTGTGGTGGTGAGCAGGTTGCTAACGGGCTCTTGGGAGTGTTGTACTCTGCCCCCGAGGCAGCCTGGGAGCCTTCAAAGGTGGCTGTGACTTGATGGCCCTCAAACACGGGCTGATTCCCAACAAAGCAGCTTTTCTGAGCCCCACAGAGGAGGCACATTGCTCGTGGTTCTCCAGGGGAGATGCTTCTCTGTTTACCCAGAGGCAGCAATCCCAGTGGGAACTGCAGGGGAGGAAGAGGAGGAGGGCTGGTGTCTCTGCAGACACCTGCTCCTCCGGGTGCTGACTCGAGGCCGTTTGTCTGAACAGAGAAGGAAGAGGATTGGAACAAGGAGGATTTTGTCTTTGGAGCGTACCAGCCCACGGTGGCCACCATGCCCAGGGGCCAGGCGTGGAGGAGGCAGCCCGTGAGGTACTGTGCTGTGGGTTTGGGCACGCTGGGGTCCCCCAAATCCCCTCACGGGCGGGGTCCCCTGGCAGGCAGCTGTGGGACTGCCTCTCCCTGCAGCAGGTTCTCAGCCGAGGGTGGCGAGCTGAAAGCAGAGCCCAGCTCCAGAGCTCCTCCTGCAGCCAGGCAGAGCCCCCTGAGGAGCAGCGGGGCCGGGGCCGACTGGCTGGGCCTCAAGGAGGAGGATCTGCTGCCTTCAGAGCTGCCTGTGGCCAAGGCCAGTCCTGCAGGGAGCCCAGCCCCACCCCCCCAGCCAGCTCCTGGCTGCACAGGAGGCAGCACCTAAAGCTGAGCCACGGGAGGAGGAGGAGGAGGAGGAGGAGGAGGACTGGCTCAGTGCTGCCTTGGCCCGCAAGAGAGCCCTGGCACAGGCAAAGGCCCAGGAGAGAGCTGCCAAGCCCTCGGAGGCCCCAGGCAAAGGGCTGGATCCCCCCTCTCCAGCCAGGTAAAGGGATCTTCTCCTCTGCTCCACGGGTACCTGCTCCAGCAGGGCCTCACAGAAACCCTCTGCTCAGAGCTAAGAAGTGAATTTTAAATGCTCTCTTGTCTTGGGGTCATAACGTGGGGTTTTCTCCCACTGGTCCAGCACATCACACCTCTGGGCTCTCCTTACAGTGGTGGCCAACATTGCCCCAGGTCCCACGGAGCTGCCCTGGATCAGCACAGCCCCACCAGCTGCCCCCGTGCCCCCCGTTCCTGCCTTCCTCCCCCTTTGTTCCTCCCTGTCCCAGGCAAAACACCCCCTGCAGCTGGGCTTACAGGGATGGGACTCGTGGCATTCAAATGGGAGCTGCAGGCACGCTCGTGGGCAGGGCTGGGGTGGCTGCAGCAGGGAGGAACACCAGTGACAGAGATTTTGGGGAACACCAGTGCTAGCCATTTTGAGGAACACCACCCATAAGAGGTTTTGAGGTGTCTTTGCTCCATCTGCAGCCAAAAACCTGAATCCTGCCACAACTGGGTGGGACAGAGGCTCCCAGCTGCGAGGCAGGAGCTGCTGCTGGGGGAGAGGATCTTGTTTCCTCAGCTCTCCCACACAGGATGGGGTTTTTTTTTGTGCTTGCAGTTTACCAGCTGCCTCCACAGCAGCCCCACAGCAGGCAGCTGCCCTGCAGGACAAGGCAGCGAGCACGAGTGGGTCCAGGTAAACCCTCTGCCAGGCAGGTTTCCTGCAGGAGGCAGCTCAGTGGGTGAGGCTGGGGGAGAGCTGGGAGCCAGCCACCATCCCTGTGGTCTGGGACCCCTGCAGCTGGGAGGGGAGGCAGCTCGGGAGGATTGTCAGGCTCTTGCTGCTGTGATCCCCCTTTAAAGCCAAATTTAGCAAGTTTTTAAGCCCAGCTTTGCCCCTGAAGCCACGCAGGGCAGGATGAGTGCCCGTGGCTGAGCTGTGCCCCTCCCACCCCTGTGCCCATGCAGGCAGCCCGTGCCCTGGCTCAGCACCACGGAAGGAGCCTCAGCTCCCCCCTGGGAGCCCACGAAGGGGGATCCCAGCAGAGACACCGGCGCCCTGGGTGCGTTCCAAGAACCCCCCCCCAGGGCAGGGGGTGGGTGTGAGGTCGTGCTGTCCCTTCCCTCTTCTCCAGACCCCTCCTGCCCTGGGCTGAGGCTGTGCACCAGCCTGCTGCAGGTGGCTTAGGGAGCCAGGGGATGGAGGAGGAGCTGTGGTGCTTTGTCCCCTGGTGGGGCAGAGGGGTGGGTGTGGCCAAGCCTGGAGCAGAACTCCCCTCTCTGCCCAGCAGACCCAGGCCCTCATCCTGGCAGGGGGTGGGTCCCGTGGCTGTGCCTGAAGCACTGACTTGTGCAATTTTCAGTCCCCACAGCCTCCTTGCCAGGAGAGCAGGAGATGCAGGGCCCTGCCCAGCTCGCTCAGGTAGGGCTGCTGCTCCCAGGTCTTCTCCCATCTAGCTGGGCCTCCTCACCCCATCCTTGTGGCTGGCTCCCAGAGGCCTCCTGGTCTTCTCCTTGAGTCTGTTCCTAGAGCAGGAAGAGCCCAGCATGCTTGTGTCACCCAGGCCAGCAGTGGCACTGGGCTGCAGGAGGGTGGAGGAGGGTGGCTCACCATTCCCAGCCTAGCAGGAGTTGTCTCCCCAGGGCTGTGCCTCCCTGAGAGCATCCCTGTGTCTCTGCAGGTTGCCACAGCCCCAGTGAGCCTCCAGCCTGCCCCACAGCTGCAGGTGAGACATGTCCCCTCTCTGGGGGGTGGTGGCCACGCCACAAAGCCACCGATCCTGAAGGGCCTTGATCTTCCTTCTCCATCTCTGCAGGCAGAGCCCCCAGCCCCGGGCTCGCTGCAGGAGGGGAGCCTGGGGGCTGCCAGTGCCCAGCTCTGCAGGGAGGTGTCAGGCTGGCAGGCAGCCCTGCTCAGCACCCAGGCCCGTGTGGCAGAGCTGCAGAGCCAGGTGAGCCCCCTCACCTGCTGCCTGGGGGACCACGGGTGACCCAGGGGAGGAGAAGGGGCCCTGCCTGCTCCCAAGAGCTTCAGGGGGACAAAGGAGAGGGGAGAGGCCGTTGGGTGTGGGCACTGAGTGCTGCTGTGGGGACTCAGTCCCTGGGCAGCACAAGGACCTTGTCATGGAATCATTAAGGTTGGAGAAGATCTCCAAGATCATCAAGTCCAACCATCAGCCAACACTAAACCATAAAACCACGTCCCCAAGTGCCACATCTACCCCCTCCGGGGCTGGCGACTCCCTGGGCAGCCTGGGCCAACCCCTCCCCACTCTGCCAGGAAAGAAACTCTTCCCAAGATCCAGTTGAAGCCTCTCCTCCTCCCCAGGTCCAGACCCTGGAGCTGGAGCGGACGCAGCACAAGCTCTTGCTGGAGAGTCTCCAGCAGAGGCACCAGGAGGACCTGAACCTCCTCGAGAGCAGCTACAGGTACCAGGCTGTGTCCCCCCGACCTCTGCCAGCTCCTTGCCTCCAGCCCTGTCCCAGGTGCTTCCCAAATCCACCCCTGGAGCGGGCAGGTCCCTGTGGAGCCGGTGGGCACGGAGAGCACCCAGGGGTGAGCCGAGGTGGGGGACCCCCGTGCCAGGGGTGGCCAGGAGGAGGGGCTGCTGCTAGCAGCAGGAGGGCTCGGGCTGGAGGGGAGTGCCAGGGGTGGCCACGAAATCCTCCTTGCTGGGTCAGGAGCCAGCTGAAGGTGCTGGAGGAGACGTGCAGGCAGCGGGAGGAGAGGCTGCGGCGGGAGCGGGAGCAGC